CGGCCGTGCCTCGAGCAACCCTATTTCCTCGTGAATTCCTCGTTTTCAACCTGTTTGAATATTCCTATTATAATATCGAGATACTTTATCTCTTTTTTTTTTTTTTTTACATGCACTTTAAATGGAACCTTAATCATTTCTTCATTGTTCTTGAACGTTGGTTAAAAGGGAGGACAGGCAAAAACGAATCGAACGAATAATTTTTAATCCCTTAATCCCTGTCGATAATGATTTTATTTGAAACCGTCTGTAAATTTTGATTCGTTTAATATTTCGGAAAGTAGTTTATAGAGGATTAATTTTTGAACGAATTCAAATTTCATTTCGAAAATACGTGTATCTGCTCGCATAATTAAAATCAAACTGTTACAAGAAAGCAGTTGTTTAAAAAAATATATATATATCATTAACCTTCGTATTCGAAAGTTCGTCAATGTAACAAATAAAATTGATACAATATAAAAATATTTAAATAATTTCGAAAAAAGAACAATATTTGTAGAAGTACATTAATACATACACACATATATATTTCTCAATCGAAAACAATATTTCTTCCTTGTAAATCGTTTCTCCTTCTCGAAGGAGCACAATCATCGCGGAACGTGTTCAATATGTGAAACGAACTCCCTTTAATACTTCGAACGGTTGAAATGATAAACGCGCGGTGCCGCGATGAATTAACACGAAAGCGCCACGAAACTATTCGCCAAGGCTTAAAGATGCTCGTGCATCTTTAATAAACTCGACCCGGTCAGTTCTCAGGATCGCCGCGAAGTAAAGTAGTCGACATTTCTCTCTTTCTCTCTCTCTCTCTCGAACCGAGAGAGAGAACCGAGAACCTTGTAACAGTTTCCATCGTGCACGTATCCTGAAAGAAACTGGAACTCGAAGAACACTTGCACAGCTTTCGTTCGAAACGAGACCAGGCGAAAAATTGGCCGGTTAATCGTGGCCGATTAACGGTTTAAAAGCGAATGGATGATCGTTGGACGAGAACGATTGTTTCGACGGAAATAACAACCCCTCTCGAATCGGGAAAGACTTGAAATCCCACACAGAAGGGGGGATCGATACGCTTTGGCACCGTGTCCATGGATTCATCTTTTAATAAGCGACCCTTCTTTTCTCTTCTCTTCTCTCGAGTCTCCTCGACGACCGACCGGTCAAGAATGCAACGCGTTCTATCAGCTGAGTTCTTTTCCGTAAACGCTCTCCATCGATTTTCTTATGTTCTTTCGCATGGTGGATGAAAGATTAGATTGGAATAAGCAGGGGAATAGAAGTGAAAGAGAAAGTTTTGGGAGACTTCTTTTTTTGGAATATTTAATCCTTTGTATTCGTATAATAAGCAGTGTTAAGATGGAATATTCAAACGTTATTAAGATAAAAATTAATTCTTTGAGGATGCAACAATTTTCTGATTTCAATCTGCATTAAGCTTTTTATTGTAGGGTATTTTTTTTTACTTTGTTGCGTGTAACGATTCTCTCTCTGTCCTCGCATCATGCTGGATTTTTCCACCATCTATCTAGGTGTGCTAGATTCACCTGGTTGTTAAATGAAACGTTAATCAGCGCGTCGTATTAATCGATGTATCCTGACCCCGATCGTTTCTCATTCTTCCTTTTCCTTTTTTTTGCACTCTCATCTTAATCATCTCATCTTTCCACCTGCTAATGATCCTCCATCGTGTTTTCGATCCTGTTTTTCCAATAATCCAACGTTCGAATCGTCGTTCGAGCTGTATACGCCACCATTTTCTCTGGCGGGAAATTATCACGTGTGTGGGAACGGAAATTCGATTCCCGTGTAATCATTGTTTCTTTTAACGAAGTTTGCGCTCCGAGCAAATTACACGTTCCAAGAAATTTCACGAGGAGAAAATATATTTAATCAGGGGCTAATTAATAATCGGGGCGGGAATTGGAGAGAAACGACGCACGAATTTCCGTGAATCGAGTGAATTCGAGGGAAGCATTCAGTTGGAATTTTGACTTTTATTCTACGGAGGAGGGCGTAGGGGAGGTGTTCGATGGAACGTTCGATCAGCTTTTGTGGAATGTGTGCTCAGTAGGTCGAGCAGTGCGAGTGGGATGAAAAAAAAAAAACGTCATACATATCGGGTGTCTCGTCCAGACAAATGTCGCGTGGTCACGTTTCGAGTGTGACGTGAAACGTCAGATAACGATAAATACACGTCGTACGTGTATTTGTACGTACACGCACACACACGGTATGTGTCTATCTTTCGAGTACGTCTTGTTTTCGAGAAGAGAATAATACCGATATTGTGTACCCGCGTATACAATTCTTGGAACAGTTTCCTACTATATACACGAGCTTGACTAAATCTGGAACGTTCAAGTCTGGAATTATCAAATGGACGTGAATTGTCCGTTTGCCAGGAAGTACGAAATAATTTTGGTATTTATTTATATTCACTAATAACTAATATTATTGGAGAAAGGAGGAGAAAAGAACAGTAGAGAACAAAGGTGTTATTATCATCGCGAGCTGCTTAATTACGCAATGAAACAGATGTGTCAACAGATAGAGAAATGTAATAAAACGTCACGAGATGGAAAAGTGTCACGACACTTTCGAACAAGCCTTCGAACAATTTGCAATAAAATTATATAAAAATTGTGACGTACGATTATCCATATATTCGCAAGATTCTGATCTGTCGTGCTGTACACATGTGAGAATCTGTTCTTTCGTCACGACGCTTATGTAAACCTCGAGAATCTCTATAGAACTCTCTATTGCATCGGAAAATATTTATTTTTCTTTCCTTTTTTTCCCTTCCTTTCTTTTTTCAAAGGAAATCTCGTTTGACTTAAATGGCATCGCTGATGATCGATGTTTCTTTGCTCTGAAAATTTACACCGTTAATACTTAAATCGCATTTAAAATATTTACACAAAAGATTATATATATCCGTGTAAAATGTAAAATAAAGATCGATCACGAGCTGGCCGATCTTCATTCGCGCAAAATTTCATTTGCGCAATCCGATTCTTTTACTCGCGAGCAACCTCTTTCTCATCGATCGATCCAATCGATCTAACCCAATTTCCATGAAACGCCATGCATACCCCAGAAACACGTCGAGCCCTCCACCTCCACCACTGAAAGGGTGAAACGGAAGGAAGAGGGACGAGAGAAGAATCCGTGGCATAAAATTGTCGGTCGAGTCGAAAACCGCATAGCAGCCCCCACCGGCAGGGGGGAGGAGGGTCGAGAAACGTCAGCCCTCGCCGAGGATAGAATCTCGACCTACGTTCAGGTCTCGCGGTCGCTTCCGGCCAAACATCGACGGCGTAAGGGCCGGGGGAGGGTGGAGGGGTTATTCGCAAATTCGCGAGCGGAGGGCGCCGCGGCGTCGACGAAAGAACGAAAGAAAGAAAAGTTTGGGCGTATGCGGCGTGGCTGGTCCCCCTCTTCGTTTCACCTTCGCGGCTCCTCGCCACCCTTCTCCTTCGACCGGAGATCCTCCCTCTCCTCCGCTCCCTCTGTGTTCTCTCCTTCCTTGTCCCACCCACGTTCTTCTCCCTTATCTCTCTCTCTCTCTCTGTTCATATCTCTCTTTCCACCCCCGTGCAATCGACGTAGCGCGTTTATCGAACGACTGCGCGCGCAGCGATAACGGGGATGGGGCGTGCTACGTGTTGGTTGGTCGCAGAAAGACTGGCGGTGGACGGACGAACGAGCGAAGTAACGAACGAGAGGAATCGTGCAACGACGACGACGACGAGGACGAGGACGAGGTGACGGTGACGGCGACGTCGGCGAACACGGGAGCACCAGACACGAATCGGAGCTCGCCGCGCCACTGTTTCCCGACCAGCTCTGTCAACACACATATACACACACATATACACACACACACACACGGCCAGCCCCAACAACGCGCTTTGTCAACAGTGACAGCTCGTGTACGCTCGCGAGCGTGTACAGGTCAAAGTGGGTTCCACGTTTACATACGTAATTTCGAGAGGAGTGCGTTGCAATTGCCGGGACGAGGAGTCGTACGCGAGTTCGTCGAGGAGATAACCCGAACCCGAAGAAGAGGAAGAGGAAGTGGAAGAGGAAGAAACGAGGAAGAGAGAAGATAGGATAGGATCGGAAAGGATCGAAGAGGAAGCGGAATTGCATCGAATATATCTCTGGTTGATCCGGAGAGAGTAGCCGGGAGGGCAAGGGTAAACAAAGAGGTATCCGGAATGGTGTCCAGAGAGGAGTGAGGAAGAAGAGTGAACGTTCTCGTGGATGGTTTGTTGTTGGCTCGTATCGATCCATCGGGAAGGAAAGTTCGGGGCTAATCCACGGATCTACGCGGAGAGGACCGCGTGGAGGGAACGGCTGGAAAAGTGGTAAATCGAGTGCGGCGGGAGTGCGACGTCGAGGTGGTGCTGGTGGTGAACGGCGAACGAAAGTTGAGGGGGATCGTGGGAGAGACGGAGGGCTGTTCACCAGGGAAAAGGTGTAATCGTGCCTTTCGGAGGCGACGAGAGGAAACCAGAGGGAGGAAGGGATAATAATAATATATATCCGGTGAGGTATATCAGGTGCGTCGCTTTTTTGTGTTTTCATTCAACCGTTTTGATCCTCCCTCCGAAAGGCGGAGGGCGGCGAGGAAGGCATCGATCGCTCGCCATTTTGCACGTCGACCGACATCTTCTCCACGCATCGACGACATTTTCCCTCGTGACGGTAAGACAGAGGAGGGAAGTTTTGGCGAGCCGTAACCGATCCACGATCCGGCCGAGGAAAGAGTGTGCGCCGCCGAATATCTCGCGATATATTTTTCTCGCGTGTATACTCGTTCGGTGGTTATCGATCGCGCGTGAACCTGTACGAGGTTCGAGGTTCTCTCTGGCCGAGGAGAGGGTACGCGATCGCGATTAGCCGACGAAACAGAGGGCGAAGGTGAAGGAGAGAAGGAGGATAAAACTGAGAGGGAAGAAGTAGCTCGGAATTAAGGGAAAGTAGAAAAGGGGGAGAGAAGAGGGTCGTTCAGGTCGCAGGTAGAAGTCAGCAGGCTGGGAGGTCGGCTGAGCGAGGTGGTGGGTCCCGTCGTGGAGGAGGCCATCGAGCCAGGGGATGCCACCCCGTTGACGGGACCCTCGAGGGAGTCCTCGGTTCCCCGAGCCCCCCCGCCACCCCCACATCGCGTCACCACATTGAAACCACCGAGACCTCCGCCCACTACGTCTCAGCAAACACAGGATCCGGGTCATCAGACCCAGGAGGTGAACTCGGACGCTCAGAATCCGGGTCATCAGGCCCAGAATCCTGGACAACAGACGCAGAATCCGGAACACGAGGAATCTCAGAAGCCGGATCGCTCGAGCCAGAATCCAGGCCACTCGGCCCAGAACCCGGCCCACAATCATCACAATCCCGCCCAACAGACCCAGAGAACGGAGCAATCGGGTCAGAACCCAGGTCACCAGGCTCAGAATCCTGGCCATCAGGGTCAAAACCCGGCCAACCCGAGTCAGAACCCAGGTCATCAGTCGGCGAATCCGGGTCATCAGACTCAAAACCCTGGACACCAGCCCCAAAACGTGAGACAACAGAGTCAAAATCCCGGTCATCAGGCGACGCAGACGCAACAACAGCCGCAGCCACCGTCTCAACCGCAACCGCAACCACCGCCACCACCACCCCCACCACAACAACAACAACAACAACAACAACAACAAGTAGAGAACCGAACCAGCAGCATGGGTACCGTGTTGTCGTTCAGCCCGCGTGACAGACGCGGTTCCGTGTATCCACCACCGGGTCATCAGCATCCCGCTGATTTCACGTTGAACAATTTCAATTACGAGCAGTTGAACAACGCGAAGAACCGAGAGAACAAGAGCGGCGTTGCTACGGTGGCGCCGGCGCCGCCTACGAATCATCCGCCTACGAACAATAACTCGTTGCAAAACAACAATATCAACCTGAACAACAACGACAACGCGAGGATCATCTCGGAGAAGAACGCCCTCGAGAAGAACCTGAAGAAACACTCGTTGTTCATAAACGCGTTATCGTGGAAACGGTTCAGCACGTCGAACAATAACAAGAAGAAGCTCGACAATAAGAACAAGAACATTGGGTTCAGGCAACCGCTCGATAACATACCCATCGTCGATAAGAATAAGAACATACAGACGCCTCAGGTGAGTCCCGTTTTCTTATTATTACGATATCGAGTTTTTCTCGATCAAGATTCAAGTTCATTGACATGACATTTTTTTCTTAATACGAAATACTGGAAAAGTATAAAAATACCACATAGTGGCATCTTTTTCGAGAAACTTTTTTCATCGATATTAATATTGAATGATATTAAAATTAACTGAATATAAATTCCGAAAGGGTAGTCACAATCAATAACGATACCGTGTGCCGTAGATTTTTCTTTTTTTTTTATGAATCCAAGGACATCGAGAACTACTTGTCCTCTATTTATAAGTACAATATGATGCAACGGTTTACGTGGCGATTGCGGCAACAGTGGCCCATTTTCACCTAGATATCCACCAAGTAGCCTCGAAGCGTAGTCTCGTGCAAAGAGCATCGTAGGTGCTTTGACCCTAGATACGATCGAAAGAGTATCGATCCTATCTACGTTTCCCTTCGTCTACGTTTCACGGTTGTGTATTTTTCTCCCCCCTCTGGGCGAAACAGATTCTCTCAAAAGGAGCTCCTTTCAATTTTTATCGGCCCACCTCCTCGTCAAGGATTCCCGGTCTAAAACGGAAACCGAGACTCCCCGCTCGACGGACGGAATTATTTATCGCCACTCCACCTTTTCACCTTCGAAACATAGAGTTCCTCCCTCTTTATTGCTGTGTATGCGTGTGCGTGCGTGCGTGCGTGTATTTTTGCGAAGGGATTAATCCGCCATTTTATCGGAAGCAGACGAAACCGCCGGCGTCGAACAACAATCACAACACGCACAACCCGACGTGCGAGAAGCTCGTGCAGAAGCCTTTGCCTCCGAAGCCAAGGAAAACCGTGATCCAGGCATCGACCTCGGAATTGCTCAAATGCCTCGGCGTCTTCCTTCACAGGAAATGCACTCGTTTAAGAGACTTCCAGGCTGGAGACGCTGTCATGTGGCTGAGGACTGTCGACAGAAGCCTGCTGCTTCAAGGATGGCAGGTGAGTAATTTTGAGGGGAAAAAAAAAAAAAGAAAAGGACGTAACGTAAACGAGGTCTACGATTTCGTGTACAATGATTTCGAATGCTCCAGAATGCTCCATTCGATTATTTGGAGGTAAATATGTTTCAGAAACTCTTGATCTTGCTTTTGATCTTGAGGATTTTTTACTTTAGGTACTTTAGGAAGCAGAGAAGTCGTGTCAAAGATCAATTTCTGTGAAGAAGTTATTAATTTAAAGGAGATATTTTAATTATTTAGTATACACGAGATAGAAAGAAACGAAGAAATTTGTGTTTCTATCTTCCACGTATTTTATTCGATGAAATATTTTTTAAAGAAATTAAATTTTAAATTAAATTTTTTCTAGTGGTTGGAGAATTTTTAGAAGTTACGAAAGTTATTAATGCATCCAATGCAATTAAAGTCGACCTTCGTGCCTTCTCTGTCTAGAAAATGGAACACTTTGTACAGTTCTCTAATTATTACATACCTCTCCGATATAATAACGTTCTTTAACGAATTCTTAAAAAAAAAAAGAAAGAAAGAAAGAAAGAAATGTTAATTGGTCGAAACGAAAATTAAAATTACTACTACTCTTCTATTTATAATACTTTCTTCGTATATCATATCGTATGTCAAAAGCATTATTAAATTGTTAGAGGCATGGTTTCAAGAACGGAGCATTACCTCACCAGAATATGTTCAAACAACGGATCTCGCTCGATAACAGAGCAACCAATTAGCGATAACGCGATAATTAATATTTATCCTGAGCACGAGGCATTCCATACCATGTTATCTGATCAAAGCTATCCATCATTATCGCGATAATGAGTTAATTAAGGCAGGCGCCAAAAAAACGATTCACCTATTATAACGATCAAATTACCATTAGCCAGAGGCGAGAGGAACGAAAGCTCCTGTCTCGGATAAGCTTCACCGATCGAAAACAAGGTTCCAACGGGGCGGAAGATTATTTGCCTCGAACCGAATCCTCGTCGTCATCGATCGTCCATTCCTCCTCGTGTCGATGCATATTGGGGAAGGGTTGGTGAAATGAGAGAATGGTGGCAACGAGAGGAAAGGGTGTCACCGCTTCTTACTTGTTAAACGAAAACGAGATCCGCCATTGAACGTCCGTTCAATTCATATTCACCCTCCACTCCGCTCTTTCTTACGTCGAACTCTCGCTCTTCTTCTTTCCTTTTTGCACTCTCCAGAGTGCACGTTAATATACGCGGTAACCCGCTGGAATACTAGAGACAGAGAGAGAGAGAGAGAGAGAGAGAGAGAGAGAGAGAGAGAGAGAGACCACGCCACAACGTTAGTCACAATATGTCACGAAGGGAATTAAGCTTTCCGCGAGAGGAAACACCAGCCTCCGTTTACCCACCGCATCCATATGGTACTTGAAGGCGCGACGAACCGTTCGTTGCACACGGATAATGTAACTGGAATAGAATGGTTGCGCGAAAAGTGGAGGATCGATGAAACTCGTGTTTGGAGTTTATGCTAATTAGATGCGATTGCGGTTTATGCTAATTTTATCGTCTTCGTTGATAGGGATCGTCGATGGACAAGGAGGAGGTTCTTTATTGTTTTGTTTATTTTGCAGTTTTGTAGTTTATAAATGAAGATGAATATTCTCTCTTCATTGTAGAAAAATTTATTAATCATTGTCGCGTGTAACTTCCACGTGTTAATGGTTTACAATACAAAGTTATTTTTAAGATTTAAGAATTTAGTGATGGAAGAGAAGAATTCAATTCTGCAAAGTTATTTCTTTACCAAGAAGAGTTATCGAGAAGAGTTAAACGTATTTATGACACGCTGTTGTAGATGGAAAAATAAAGCATTATTTATGGCCGTGAATTGTCAGATAATTCGTTTAGATTTCTATGGTACAGCTTTGACGTGTTTCGAGTCGATTAACGAGTAGAAAAGAGAGCACGTGTCCTTCGGACAAAGTTGATTCTCGTATCATTATCGCGTGTTAAGACGCTTAATAACACGATGAATAAAATGGAATTCCGTTTTTCGATGTATATTCGTCGCTGAAAATCGATCAACGCGCAAGAAAGGCACAAGAAATACCCGATTTCTTTCTTTCGTCAATAGAATACATTGTTGTCGGGTAGAAAAGGGGGATGGAGGAAAATTGTCGAGATAAAATGTCCCGTACAATTGTACGTGTGTATTTGTGGTTCTCCAGAATAAATTCGAAAGAATGAAACAGAATGGAAAAGTACGAGCGAATATCAAATTAGGTCGAGCACTGACGTATAATTAAACACCACCTTGAATTCAAGTAGCGCAAGTAAATTTATCGTTTTTATTTTCACTCACGAGAATCAAACGCGAACGGGGGGGTTCTCTCTCCAAATGTCCAATCTCGAAATGTGAATTTTTTTTCTTTTTCGCAACGATCGCGAAAAAGAGAGAGATTCCTCTTCGACTGTCCCCTTTCTCGCGCGAGCACGAAGGTCATTATCGATTATCCGGTTTACGAGCTATCACGCGTCGTTACGCTGGTTTTCGTGGAAAATCATCATCGTTCTACCCACGAAAATGATATTTACTCTACCGTGGCTTCTCTTCCGTCACGAGTGACGTTCACGTACTGACCACTATCTTGGGAACAATTGATCGCGGTCACGTGAATCGGGTAATTTCCATCGATTACGTAAAACCATTATTTCTAGTACTCTTCTCTCTTTCTCTCTCTTTTTTTTTTTTTTTTTTATTGCATCGAACTTTCGAGAACTTTTATTTATCTTCTCGATAAAGTTCATCAAGATTTCTTTTTTATTTTTAGAACTAGCTTTAATCCTTTGTGTCACTTCGATGTTTTGTTCTTGATACGTATCGAGTTACTGAATTGTCAATGACTTTTATTCTAGCGAAAATTTTATCGAAGATGAAACAGAGATAAGATAAAGAAGATTACTCTTTATTCAATTTGATGTATTAAGAATTATTTTATCTTTTGAATTTAATTTAAAAAAATAATACCCATGAAAAGCGCGAAGAACATATCGTAAATTTTTAATAAAAAATTAGATTAGATAATCAAACGATATTAGGATTGTACGTTTATGCAAAATATATTTTCCATAAATTCGAGATTCGATTTTCAGATAAATCTACCTCCAAAATAAATGCACACGAGGGTCTTAGTTATATATAGCATTGCTACGCTTAAAAAATCGTCCATTAACGTCCATTCTAAAGCTTCCATTTTTTAAAGCTTCGATTATATTCCCCCTCTTTTATCGTCGGGCGATTTTTCGATTCTTTTATCATTGCCAGTTAAGGAGAGGGGATGATCGAAGAATAAGAAGGAATCTTCTAAAGTTGATTCATCTATATTCGTCCACAACATTTCGACGATTCGACTAAAATTTACGACGATTTACACATTCATGGCGCTAATCCAGTTTTCGAACTCGTTCGATCGAAATGCGACATTTTCATCGACACGCAGTCGCGTGTTTTTTCCAACTAAATGTCAACATCGATCTGTAAAATGTTGCAATAATAATAATAATTACGAAAATCTCTTTCTCCTCTTTCCTTTTGATCCTATTATATGCGCATCAACGATTGTAATTTCTTTTTTTTAAATTTGATTTATCAATCTACCCTATTGATCCGCTATAATATAATAAAAATTCAATTTGCGGACGAATGGGAAAAAAAGGTATTCAACAATTTTCAAAGGTTTTTCCTCTTTAATGAATTCGAAATGTTGTAATCACATCGCTTTGCACGGATTTTCGTCAGTCAATGACAATGAAAAGAAGCGTGATAGAAGAGCGTTTTATCGCTTTCATAAAACTTTTGCTTCTGTGTAAACTCTTTAAACTCAATTTTCTCAGTTTATAAAGTAACGAACTTTGTAAAACGCATTAATACGCAAAGTGGAAAAGTCACGCTTCACGCTATGATTTATAATCTTTAATGCGGATTAAAAAAAGAAAAAGAAAATTCTAAAATAAATGACGACTGTCGTTTATATAGGAATTTCCGCAAAGAAATAACGGAAAACAATATCTTTTCAAAAGTTGTTCAAAAGCTGCAATCCGAGCAAAAGTCACGGTCTTCTCACAATGGCTTTCGTTCGCCAACGAATGTATCATTGATGATACATCCACGCTCACATCGACCCCTAATAAGGGGTAGCATGGAACCCATCCACGTGCGTGTGTTTATTCGTCTGAGCGAGTATATGGTGTAGGCAAATATACACAGAGCCGCGGCTTTCGCTGTCAAAGCCTCTCTTTAGCGATCCTCGTCAGAGCTACCCTGTTTTTCAACCCCAAATCCTACTAGCCCTTACGCTCATCACTCGTCTCTCCTCTCCGATACGAGTGTCCAGGATCGATTCCATTTTCCTCCGCGCATTTCTTCTAATGTCTGTTCGAGATCCACGAAACGTATCTATAAAACTACCCTAATCTTTCTTCTAGGGAGAGAGAGAGAGGAAAAATGCAGTGGTTCTCAAAGTGAAGTATTTTTTAGTGGGTAGTTGACAAAAGTCATCTATGATTTTTAAAACTATTATTTAAAACTATTAACATTTATCATTATTTAATTCCTTAAACGATAATTATTTCATTTCATATGAGTTTGATAAATATAATAAATATATATATAATTGAAATCAAAAATGCTCGAAAATATTCCCGATATAAATTTATATTTCTTCATTTTTTTTTTAACTTAGAGAAACAAAATTGACATTTCTTTTTTTCTTATTTTTTTTATCTTAAAAATTGTCAAGTTTTACGATAACGGTATTATCACTCGAGTGACAGTATTAAAAATAATAGATTGGATATAATACAAAAGCGGTGTTGCTGATCATTTCACGACAATCTAACGTATTAATTTTTTTTTTTTTTCTTAATCTCCTCGCACGAAGAAAAGGCGATAAATTAAATCATTAAACCAAGAAAGCATCTCTAATTTACATCTTTAACATCTTTTCACATCACAAAATATTGTAACACCATTACGCAATTGCCACGAGTGTAATTACATTACAAGTGAATTACCTACATACGAATCTCGTGACTCGTAACCAACCAAGGGTCATCTTCGTCACGAGCCCTTCAATTAACAACGGGACAATTATTTTTAGTTCGATACACCTTCGTTACGTTATCGTCCACCTTTCTCACTCGTCACCTACTTTCCACCAACGGGCTCCCTATAATAAACTGGCTAAAATCCTTTTATAACCAGGCTCGACGCTTTTTCTCCCATTCCCCAGTTCATCCCCCATGCGGCACTAATTCGCAAGTGCTATGTGCACGGGGTACACGTTTTTTTTTTTTCCTCTCTCTTTCTCTCGCCACCAGAAATTGGAACGCGTTGCACGGTTAATTATAAAGAACGGCCGCGTAATCGATAGAGAGAGAGAGAGAGAGAGAAAGAGAGAGAAAGAGGGGGTATCGAAAGGGGGTGGACGAGAGGAGGCACGGAAAAATGTGTGTGCAGCAATGTGCAACATCGGGGAAAAACCGCGTGAAGGGGGTGGGAGTCGAGGGTCACGTGCGTGTAACGGCAACGTCGCAGAGAGCCACCCCTTGGCTAGTGTGGAAATATGCGGGGTGCCAGGCCAGGGACGTTCACCCTTCGGTTTTAATTGCAAAAGGGGAGACGACCTCTTACCGAACCCCAGAGCTTCTTACCCTCAGGGAGAAGAAACTCGCGACGAAGGGGAAGGGATTGCTCGAAAAAAAAAAATAAAAAATTTTAACAGCTTTCGTCGGCTATTATTCGTTGTCGTCATCCGTATATCTGTGCGAACGTTGTCTCAAGAATACGTTTGAAACTATTTATTCCATTTTTTAGAAATCTCGAGAGTCTCGAGAATAGAATTTATCGAAACGACGCGATCGTTCTCCTCCCATTTTTAAGGAATTAGATTACAGTTGGTGGAAATTTTTTACCACGGGTGAGGGTATTGAAGCAGGTACTCGCTTGATAAAGTTATCGGTATAGGTTCGAGAGGAAAGAATTTCCACGCCGTTGAAAGTTGCTCGTTAAAGTAACTCGAACTTGGTTTGATTTATTTGAAATAGGAGTTTGCCGGGTGCAGAGGGAAGTTTCGTGTGGGTAAACCTTGGTGTTGGATGTTCGCCGGATCGTGGTTGTATCGAATTATCGAAAGCTCCAATAGTGTTACGTAAAAGTTGGTTTTATCGATTGCACGCTGCGAAACCAAATGGTGTACTATTATTAAATATCGGGCGAAATTTTTTTTTTTTTTTTATCTGCCGCAAAAATCATTCATCTATGAAGAATGATCGAGTTAAAAAAAATATTTTTATTTACACGCAAACGAATCTGGAGCAAACGCGTTCGTCGCGTCGAGAAAACATTTTGAAAGAGAAAGAGATTAATGTGATGTGCTTTCTTTTTCTTTTTTTTTTTGAAAATAATTTAAACCTCAATGAATAGATATATTCTCGTTTGGAAAGTTTTGCAAGAACGATTAATGATAAAATTATTCGCAGTACAGACTTTGATTGCAAATGGGGCAATCAGATACCCTGAATAATTTTCCATCATGCTTTCTGCCACTTCTTCTTGCAGATGCCACTTAATTCGATGTTAAGTGGTGCGCATAACAACGACGGTCATCGAGGCGATGACTGTAATGGCGGAATACACTTTCTCAGAAATTGTGCTGCCTCGTATGAAACAGAGTGGAAAAAAAGTAAAAGCTCAACGAATCTTAAAATATAGCTAAAATGATACAAAAATATAATATCACGTGTAATAATATAATGGAATAATAGCCATGACAAATTCTTATCGCGGTATAATGTTTTTTTAATAACGAATTATTAAAAAATTTAAAGAATTAATGATAGTAATAAATCTCCTATAAATAAAATATTTGAAAATAAATTTCGTAAATGATTTTCTATCTAACAATCTTGTCTAAAATTACAAATCACGAATATGTAATTATTAAGTAAGAGTAAAAATATTTATTTCGCTATTTTTGGTGTTTCATATTTTTCGTACATATAGCGAAGAAACAAAACGACAAGAAATCACGCTCCCTTCGCTCCGAGGTTTCTACTTGTCGACGTAGAACCGCAAATCGATCGTACACGTGCTCAAATCTAATCAGTCAAGGGTGACACATGCAGCCTGTTCTAGAAACACGCTGCATATCGAGGGCGTCGACAGATTTCGCGCACTCGTTGCATTTTATAGTATAATATTCGATATTTCCACGAAAACAGAAAGATAAAAGTAAAAGAATAGAAAAAGAAAAAGAAAAAGGAAACAAATTACGATATTTCGATTCAACAATTTGCAAAAAATAAATCCTCGATAGATGAACTAAACGTGTCCTTTTTAATAGAATTACATAAAGTAATTCTAATTGATTGCGCGAGCTTTTCAAGATTATAATTGAAATATTCTACGAATCGAGATTAAATAATCAAGTCTATTCTATTTTCTGTAACGCCATTCCAGTTTCCAGTATTCTTTCTCCAACGGAAACATCGTTAAATTTTCATCAATCCGCTAGATATCACTCTTCAAATTTTCCAGTAAGTTTACAACGAAGAATTCCAATCTCGATCCAGCGAGATCGATCTAATATCAATCCACTTTTCTCTGACAAGTTTACTCGTTGGCGCAAAAGCACGTGACTCGGGAACGGGTTTGACGATCGTGAAACACAGAGGCACGAGCAACACGTAGACCATTTAAGTAAGAACCATTTAATCCATTTTGTCTAGACGGTAAATAGAAGAAGGTTGAACGTCATTGCGGAGAATCTCGTTAAAGGGAAACCATATATACCGATGGAATCGTTTTCTATACTCGCAATGCGGCCAATATGACGACAAAGAAGAGGAAAGAGAACGTTATCTCGTTTTCGTCAACAAGAAGCCGAATAAAACGATTTCGATTCTTGAATATCGTGATGGGTAATCGCTTATCACGATATTTCTATATTTTAATATACACGTTATTATAATTATATTTGACAAACGCGTGAAAAGATTTTTTCTCTGAAACGATTACTTCGAAAAAGCCAAAGTTTTCTTCTTTACCTTTAACTAAGACATATCGTTTTAAAATAATTTTTTCCTTTACGCATAATTATTATCTTTTGTTTTTGACTAACACTGATTGTCATAAAACAGCAAATCTACTATACAGATTCTGTAGAATGTAGATTTATTTTTATGATGAGATATATATTGCTACACCACGATAAGACTATTATAAAAAGAACTTGCAATTCAAGGAATTGTTAAGCACTATTTTAAAATGATATTTTAAGGAGAAGAGAGAAAAAGTATCTAACGAATCATTATTAACATTCTCTATAAATAACCGTCAAAAGCATAACCGCATCAAATTCAATCAGACGTAAGAGAATGATCCCTCAGAATACCACACAACATCAAAGAGACACTTTCGTCTGCTGACGGACGGTGATTTCCTCTCGTTGATTACATGCAAAAGCCTGCACACCTCGACGACAATTCAAATTAAAGATTCCTCGTCGTACGTACAGAATCTGTACAAAATTCAATCAGAATCAGTTGGATCTTAATGAAAATCTTGGATCTGGTGAAAAATGAAAAACAGGTTTACAGAGGGTTCTAGTAGGGATGCAGGCCGCTCACCCCTGGCAAATATCGACCAGGACCAATATATCTACTTTGTTCATACTCGTGCTCCGTGTCGCCGTTTTTCCACCCTCCTCCAACGCTTTGGCCATGTTACAACCAAGCAGGTGTACTCCTCTGTGATCAAGACACGTGGAAACGTTGTAAACGTGTGGTACAGCGTATCGAGTACACGGGAGAGGTATTTATTTTAAAAATAAATTGCTCCTCCTTTGCCATACACGATTGTCGTACTCTCTCTCTATCTCTCTCTCTCTCTCTCCTCCCTCCATGCTCGATACACACAACGACCAATTAATATCAAAAGCTATTATCTGTCCTGAAAAACGGAAATAGTCGGGCTAATAATAGTCGTAAGCTCGATGTTTTGTAACTTAGCTCCCACGAGACCCCCCCCCTCTTTTTTTTTTTTCTTTCCTTTTTGAAGTTTGCACAGTTTCCCTTCCTCCTTTCTCCCTCTTCAAATATCGACCGCTCGCTCTCTTTTTCCTTCCTTTCACGGGGGCTACTTTCTCTTAACGGGTAACTCTTCCCATCTTTTCTTTCCATCTACTCTCTTCTCTCCCTTTGTCACGAGCAATATCGTTAAGGAAGACTTCAAAGACTCGTCGTTAACTGTCTGTCGTTCTTCGGCACACATTTCCGGGACCGTTTATTGCGATCCGACTTCCGGTTCGGATCTCTCTTCCAGCGATCTAACGAAGACACTCGAAGCTTCAACGGCATTGACTTTTCCTCGTTAACACGAGGTGTGCGCATATCAAAAATTGCAACATTCTGCGGATTTCTACAGTTGTAGAAAAGTAACTGGAGAATGTAGAATGTAGATTATGCATAAGGTTTCTATATATATATATATATATATATATATATATAAGGCTTCGTTTTCGAGAAAATTGACAGTGAAATGGATTGCCAAGGGGAAAGAGAGAGAGAGAGTTGCATCCATAATATGCGATCGATTTTTCTCTTACGCAGAAAAGAAGCCTCTGTGAAATTTTACATCTTCGACTTAATTTTGAAACAAGGAATCCTCTTCTGATTTAACGATGTAATAGATCCGTACGTATTTAATACAAAATTATAAGTTATAAATTTATTTACTATTAATACATTCTTATAGCAGACTATAAGATGATACTGTACATCGAGATGTTGAGCTTTACTTAGTTAATCCTTTGTGTGTACGTCAACATTACAAGTCCATAAGTAAACTCGATGCACAAGGAGATATGTATATATAAGAAATTCTGAATTTCCCAAGGCATTGTCATAATCCGTAACAGCGTTAAAAGATTTAAAGAAAGAATCGTGAATCACGTACCCTTTTTTCATCATTAATAACTACTTCCTTCTATTCTTTTGATCTACGTCTATCTATCCATGCGCACACACTCTCTCGATTTTATATTCAAAGCGGAACGAGTCTTTGACCCTTCGAGCAATCTCTCTCTCTTTCTCTCTCTCTCTCTCGTCCCTTTCCTCGAGTTATCGTCCAATTACAACGAATGCTTTGTGATAATTAAAACGTACGCTGGTGATCATAGGCGTGGCAGTTCTTCCGATCGGCGAGGGTGCACACAGAGTTTCTTGCACATGCACCGAGATGACCTGGCAGGATCAATGCTCTCGATAGTTCCTAGATAAGTGATTTGAAATATTCAATGCTTTGATACAAAACGAGAAATGATAGAAATGATGAGAAATGATGAAATTTCAAATCTTTTTCTATTCGTTTAAGCGTGAAACAGGAATCGTTTGATCTTTCTGTTCACTGCGAGTCCAAAGAGTCAAAACTCCTGCACGATTTTATTATCGTTTATCGAAATTAAGTAATAAACTTTTGTTGTTTTTCGTAAACTTCGATGTCGAAAAAAATATTTTTATCATAGCGTCGTCTGATACGAGGCAAAACGGCTCGACACTTTTGCGAACAGTCGAAGCGTTGTATTTTCGACGGTTTTATTTTATCTCCTGATCTCGTATCGCTTTCAATTTTATCATTTTTACGAATACGAAAATGAGCGAGGCGAGTGAACGCGGCCACACGATTATGGACACCTTTGAGAATGCATTAGAATCAATGGAACCGCAATTGATCTGAGAGCACTTAAGGAGACGATGTACTTTGCCCGTGCACTCCCGGCCCACGCCACGTTCTAATTCGCTAATGATTCCGAGGACTTCGTTTCTGGAGCAATGAAAACGACTTTGGTAAAGGACAGCTGACGAAATTAGACAACTTCATGGCCGTGTGGTCGTTAATATTTAACACGTGAATGGAAATAGACGTGTCCAGGTCGTGATATTAACATCTCCGTTTACGCTGTTCTGTCTTGGGAGAAGAATGTATTGCTATAGATTGTGCAATATTTCTCATTGACTCAGAGAAATCAGATTAAAAATCAGATAATAATAACTCGTCGATTTTTAAAATATTGATTCGACAAAATTTACATAATTATTCCGAAAGAAATTATTTTTATTACGTTTTATGATATCTAAGGAAGATGATATACATGTTTAAAAAAATCATCACACGAAACGAATCATCCTGTAATTTCGAAAATAGACGAAAAACACTCATAAAAGCAGCAAGCTACTCAAAGAATCTTCTCGAGAAGAAGATAAGCGTTGTTCGAGATTGCGGCGGAAGAACTCGAGAGCGCGAAATATCGTTTCCCTTTGGAGGGAGCGCGATGAAAAGAAGACCTGTCGCAATCGAGGTATCGAGCGGCGACTGACATCGAGTGCTACAATGCCGATTGCAATTTCGCAACCGTGGCACGTAATGTGACGCTGCTCGTGAATCATCCCTTTCTGCCGGTCGATTGTCAACGAGTATCGTCTGCGCGCTTGCCAAACCAAGAAGAAGCACCTCACCTGAATGCGCGCAAGTACAATACAGGCGCATCGAATGTCTGTCTGGCCGTCCTCCATACTCGTAGGAATTCGATTCTATTCGAATCCTACGAGGCTTTCGCACAACTCTTTAGCATCGTTGCGTTAGAACTCTGATAGATTTCTTTTACTTTGACAGAAAGAATTTTCATCGATGGTGTCGTTTCAAAAATGGTAGAACTAGGAATGCGGAGAGCACTGTCTCGATTATTTTCAATTATTAGAGAAATCTTGTTCGTCGTTGTTGTTTTTTTTGAGGAAAAGAATTTTGTCTAGTAGTATCATCTGTTTTAGAAACGATAAATAGCAGCAAATCATTATTTTCAGTGAAATTTAATTAATGAATATTTTGTCAAGCAATTTGTTGAAAATTTTTGCTCGATCCATTAATAATTAAGATTGTCTCACGTTTATATAATATAAGAAACTAACGTGTAACGTTTTCCAACAGGATGTCGCGTTCATCAATCCCGCCAACGTTGTGTTCATTTATATGCTGGTGAGAGAGTTGGTCGACGGAGACGAGGCTTCCGAAAGGGAGCTTCAAGCAACGGTTTTAACGTGCCTCTACTTGAGCTACAGCTACATGGGGAATGAGATCAGCTATCCCTTGAAACCGTTCCTCATCGAGGACAGCAAAGACAAGTTCTGGGATAGGTGCTTGTTGATCGTCAACCGGTTAAGCTCCGAGATGCTGCGAATCAACAGCGAACCCGGATTCTTCACGGAGGTCTTCACTGAACTGAAGGTTCGTATTCCATTCGCTGTGATCCAATCTTATTAAATCATTTCATCGAATTGTCAATTATTCATATATATTTCTTGGAAACGATACAATGAGGTCGTGAAACGATACGATTAAAACGGAATTAAATTATCGATCGACCCAACCCGAAAATTATTCAAACCTTATACGCGCCAATTCTCCGATTTCGATGTCTGAAAGAACGAATTAAACAGAAGAAGATTCGATCTTTCATAAATGTGAAACTAAAGCTCACGAGTTCCATCGAGCTATCGTACATCGTCAAATCATCTTACGTATCGCCTGATCGATTTTACGATCTCGCTACATCGTTTTCATTCAATTCGTACAACGTATCAATCGTCCTCGACTTTAAATCTAGACGTAGATTATAAAATGGGGGCAAATAACTGAGAAAGAAAACCGTGAAACAGGCCTGCGGTGCTGGGGATCGAGGCAGTCTGCCTGGTACCGGCCTCGAGCGGAGCCTCGTCGTCTCCGGAGTTGCGGTACCCACCAAGGCGGCTTGACGGAGCTACACACACTTGCTGGTGCGCATCGACAGGCACGGCTGCGACGTCACGACACTCTGACGACGGCCGTCGCGACGACGAGGAGCTGCCCCCGCAGCTTGACCCCTCCGCATCGACCTCGACCTCGACGTTGCATCGACAACCACATCAACAGCAACATCACCATCATCATCATCATCATCATCATCATCATCATCGACCTAGCCGCGACGATGGGGAGGTTGGCGGCCGATGTCCGTCCTGCGGCCAGAAACGGCGGGAGGAGATCTTGCTCGCCATCGAGGATCTGGACGCGATCGAGTCGGCGCCCCTCGAGTCCCAGAGAACGCCCACCACCCAGAGGACGTGCAGCTGCGACACGGTCGACGCGTCGGCCGCCACGCGAGATCTGCCCAAGTATCGAAGCATCGACTCGAGATGGGCCGACGGTAGCTTCCTCTCGCCCGACGAGCAGATCTGGAACCTGAAGAAGCGCACCAGCGAGGGAACCGAGTTTCGATGGGCCCTGCACACGTCCAGCACGGACCTCGACCTGGCCAAGAGAACGAGATGCAGCTGCCACAGCCTGACGCCGGAGGACAAGAAGTCGCAGGAGATCCAGCGAGGCGATCTCAGGAAACATCACAGCGCGGAGACGGACAAATGGTCGATCAAGCCGGATTATTTGAAAACGCCGATGCACGATCTGAGGAAGCACAGCAGCGACGACACGAGAATGGCGAGGGAGGCGAGGTGGCTTCAGGTCCCGGACGTGTTGCCCAATCCGAAGCCTAGGTGCACTTGTCCCAAGTCCAAGATCCTGGCTCCCTCGCCGCCCGCGGAGCCGAAGAAGGCTTCACCGGAACCGGAGAAGCCGACGATAAAAAAGGAGGAGCCGGAGAGGAAACTGTACTACTCCGCGTCGATGACGGTGGAGCAGCGCAAGGAGGAGCCGGCGGTGGAGC